ACATAGGTGAAAAAATATAATGCAATATGGAGGTCATTAGTATTTTAGTATTAATTAAGCTGTCTCTGTGCTATGATGAGCTCTGAATCCTGACTGAAAATCCTCAAATAAACTATTGCTCTGTAGAAAGTCACACAGCTGTTTAGCAACTGCTTTCTCCAGAACCTTAGAGAGAAATGGAAGGTTAGATATAGGTCTATAGTTGGCTAAAACATCCGGATCAAGTTTGGGCTTTTTCAGAAGAGGTTTAATTAAAGCTACTTTAAAGTACTGTGGTACATAGCCTGTTGATAGAGATAGATTGATTATATCTAGCATAGAAGTGCTGACTAAGGGTAAAACACCTTTAAGCAACCTAGTCGGGATGGGGTCTAAGAGGAAGGTTCATGGTTTAGATGAAGAAATTATTGAAGTTAGTTGGTAAAGATTGAGGGATGCAAAGCAGTCTAAACATATATCTGGTTCTACAGCTGTTTCTAAGGTTCCTGAGTTTAGAGATAATTCGGTGCCAGTTGCTTTGTCCCCTTTATGAATTCTGTATGAAATCCAAGGATCATTGTATCCTGGGATTCTGGCCCTTATAAAGGTCAGTGCAAGGTCGGTGCCATGCATAAACTATCCTGAATTGACAGATCTCTTAACTCTCCATTAGTGTCATCCTTGAGTCCTGGCTGGGCCTGTTTCATGACCATGTGGACAGCGAAATCAAGAAAGGTTCTTCATTTCTCAATGAAAAGTGGAGATGCCATATTCTCTACTTGTACATACAACTGGGAAAAACTAAGGTCATAGTATGTGACCATAATGATGATTTTTGAAAGAAATTGTAGTGAAGAAAGGGCAGACCTCATGGGAGCTTAATATTATCCAAGATGGTTACTGTGACTGCTTTGTACTCACATTATGTAAATGGCCAAAATTAGCTATTTATATTGTATTATATGTTTCTTGTGGTCTGTTTATAAGTGAAACCAGAGACATACATCATATAGCTCCTTTATAATTAGCTGAATCTGCTGAATTGAAGTTTTATTAGATTTAGATAAATATTAGATTTTATTTCAATGTTCACTGCCAGAAATGGTGACTTTGCAGTCATTTTTGGCGACGGTTTGTTGCCTCTTCTAACGTTCTTTTTGTCGAGTGGTAAATCCTGATATCTCTGATTTGGAATTCCAACTACAAGATTAATATGAACGTATTTTCCCCTCGACTGCTCATAATTGCAGTCAAAATATGCAGTGATCACGTCACACATCTATCTGGGGTATATTTGTGAGGAAATCCAATATGTTGTTGATGTTGTTCTTTATGTGCTGGACAACCAGTTTCTCAAACCATTTCATTAGAATGGGGGTGAGAGCCACAGGGCGGTAGTTGTTTTGGCTAGACACTGCAGACTGTTTTTGGATTGTAAAAACATCTGTTAAAAAGCAAAATACGAACACTATTTACTCCTTTATTTGCTGTTAATAGAAACCTAGCTCCTCAAACATAAAAATTGTATAATAGGGCATAGTAGTTGCATATGGGCGGATGGAGGCGGGGTATGATTAGACATCCCTCCTGGAGTTTCAACCTTGTTGGCACAGTGCCTTCCATACCCCTGGCTCTTCTCCGCGGGTGACAGGCAATGTAGGCCAGCATGAGTACAACTACCCTTCTTTAGATTCTAAGCTCACCATCATAAATTATGGTGAACACCTGCGTGGAGCTGAGACAATTCTGCCTGCCACGGGAGCTAAAACATGCTGGCCTCTTTAGAGAGCTGGATACGGATGAAAATCTCAGCCCAGATGGCCACTTAGCCTTTCAGCATGTAGCACTCTGACTATATTCTTAATGACAAAATTTCAAAATTCAGAAATCAATTTGTGGTTATCTTTTATCACTGACCTCTCCATCTCATCACTGACACAGGAGGTGCTACATTAAAGGTTATATTAAATGAAATCCTACTCTTCCTGTGGTGCATTTTCTCATTTCCAGCCAAAGAGGATAATGGCAGCCAGAGCGATGCATATCTGTGACCGCAGCTGTCTCTTGTGTCTGGGGCAATCTCTTGCTACTTCTATTGATTTGTATTGATCCGGACCCTCTGCCAGCAGCTGAAAGCTAATTCAGCCTGCTGGTTCTTCCGTTGACATTTTCATTGCGGTAGCTCAACTTTATTGAGTGAAACCATAAAGCACTGTTTAATACAGCCTCTGACTTTATACTCAAATATACTCATACTAATAAATTACTGTCTAGTGATAAACAGTTACAGCTCAGATTTTTTGTATTACAGTTGTGGTTGTGATGGAATTTATCAGCTACTCTAGCAGCAGTCTGTTGGTTTGGTTGATCCACCATTTTCATTGGATTGCCATGAAGCCTACTAACTTTGGTAGCGGTATTTAGGGTTTTGATTGCATTGACAACTATTAGCCAGATTGACTTGGAATTAGATTTTCACGGATGCAATCCTGTCTGGACAGCAGAGTACAGAGGGTCGAGGTAAATGGTGAGCTGTTATCATACACAGACCACCAGGTGCACATTTTAGACAGAGAGGATGGATGGTTTGAAAGAGGTGCCAAGAAAGCTACACCCGGGTTGAGAAACCAATGCTTAACAAAGGAGGGGGTCTACGCCACCACTTATCCCCCACTTACAATACTGTTCTTTCATCACTTCCCAGGAACTGTTCCCTTTTGGCCTCAGGTGAAGATGCCAACGATGGTCATTCAGACTTGGCCTCGGGTGGCTCTAACGACAATAACAACGTTATTATAACAACCAGGAGCACTAACTAACCAGTGGTATCGATGATTTTGGCAAACAACACCACTGAGGTTAAATAGCTGAGTTTCCCTACCCGTCAGTCAGAACTGAAGAAGTCTCTTGGATGAGGGACGAAACATCTTCTAGTATCTTCAACCAAGTCCAGTTGCCCTTGATTTTAACCTTGTTTGGATGTCATCACCCCTTAGTTGTGATATCGGTGTACCTCATGGATCAATTCTGGGCCCCCTGTTGTTTAGCCACATTTACAACTGTTTTACTATTAAGGCAGCAACAGTATATTTCATGGCCACAATCATGGCCTGTCAGTCTGCATACCACCAGTCTTAAGGAGCTTGACAGAAAGCCAAACACCCATCACCATTACTGTTACTGCCTGAAGAAATTATAATTTACTTAGCTGGGACAATCTTATTAAAATTACATTGTAACACTTGTCTACAAGATTCAGCATGGCTTGGCTCCTCCCCCTTAGTGCTTTATAAAGCAGAAAACAACTATTGATAGACATACTATCTCTGTGGCAAGAAGGGATTGTATAATACATATGGGGAAGACTGCCTTCAGACAGACAGCTCACACATTGAACAGTCTGCCAACAGACTGGTTCTTGGCTAAGATCCTGACAGCGAGTACTGAAACAACTGATCCTCGGAACAGCGGAGGGAACAGCGGAGGGAACAGCGGAGGAAACAGCGAAGTCGACTTTGTGTGCAGAGAGTGGGGTATCAGAGGTTATCCTCCTCTCCTTAAAGAAAACGATGGAATCCGTATCTTTCTCCTGCAATAGTTACATGTATAACAATCTCCTTCGAGATACAAAAATGTGTTCAGCAAACATAAAACAAAGAAGAAAAACAAAATAAAACAGTCTGTCCTCACCCAGCAAGTTAAGACGTTCACCTAGAGAAATAAAGTTAAGCGCTTCAATGTGATTAGGGTCTAGATCTAGACCCTAGATCTAAATTATCACCCTATATCTAACTTAAAAATGAAATGTATGTTAACTTTTCTCATAATCTCTGATCTAGCTGCTAGAAACCTCATTAGTGTGTGAGTGATGCTTTGCCGAGTCTGGACCTACAATGGTTCCCAGAATTGCAATCCGACAAGGCTAATGATATGCAAGGCTGTGCCATTCCTCACGGCTGCTAATTTTTTTGTTGCTGCTGTATTGATTGAGTCTTCAGCTGCCCTGGCTCTGCAGCTGCTATGCTCCTAACAGGGGTTTTGTGCTGAAAGTCGATGTTTACTTAGACCTATAATCACATTCTTGTAAATCCAGTGCAAGTGCAATCACAGTATTGAAAGAGAGTGATTTACACAGTGTTTATTGTATATTGTTAGGACATTGTTATTGCATGCACGAGCACTTTCAGATACACAATGCATAAAAGCAGTAGAAGAAGCACTTTAACTATAAATAATATCCCTTTTCTGTGAAATACTAAATCTTGTTTTGACGGGCTTTTTGTCATCCGTTGGTGATGACTATAATTGACTTGTTTTGATTGTGAAAGGTTGCCCACGAGACATCAATATTCTTTGTGTTTTCACATTTATTCAGCCTTTTTGATGCATAGCTGAAAACAAGCATTTAAAAAACTAACCAGTTTATTTTGTAGGCCTTGGTTTTCCTTTTATGCATTTCATGCAGTTCTTTCCATTTTCATTGGAAGCTATATATTTACTACTTATAACCCTTGAGCAGTTCCAGAGCAGCTGTGCTTACAGACTGTCAGCAAGCTGTAAAAGAATAATTGTGGTTTATTACAACTAAGCCCTACTATTGTGGGCATTCGGTTATGATAACATTGCACTTACCGAAATAATTGCTGAGATCTGGAAATATTGATGCAGTCAGTCTGAAACTGTGAGGGATGTTTAACGGGCAGTTTAATAAATGAATAATTAATTAATTTAATCAAATCATTCATACATTTACCTTCAAGTTTGGTTAACCTGGAGGTTTGTTGTCTGAATGCTCATTTGTGTTCTTTTTGACAGTGTTGCTGTGTTCTTAGATCTCAGCTATTAATTTTACAGAATACAATGTTATTATTACTGATATAAAAGTAAGATCAAGATTGCATTGCACTGAAATTAAATCATTCATGAAAAGAGCATTAATTACTTCTCAAAGAACCTATAATTATCTTGCTTTCTGTCTCATTGAACTTTCCCTTAACATTCTGTTGTCTTACTCTTTACAGGTCCATGGGGTCGTTGTATGGGCAGTGAATGTGGACCTGGTGGCAGCCAGAGCAGGGCAGTATGGTGTGCCCACTCTGAAGGCTGGACCACCCTGCACACCAACTGCGACCAGACAGAACGGCCGGACAACCAGCAGAGCTGCTTCAGAGTGTGCGATTGGCACAAAGATTTATATGACTGGCAACTGGGTGCCTGGAACCAGTGTGTCCCAGTGTCGATGCGCGGGGTGCAGCGTCCCGCTGTATGTACCCGAGGAGAGGAGGGCATCCAGACCCGTGACGTGGGCTGCGTCCAGAAAGCGAATGGTGAGCCCGCAGAGGATGCAATCTGCGAATACTTTGAGCCTAAACCACGGCTAGAGCAGGCCTGTCTTATCCCTTGTCCTCGGGACTGTGTGGTGTCTGAGTTCAGCCCATGGACTTCCTGTTCTAAAACCTGCGGGATGGGCTTACAGAACCGGATCCGTTTCGTTCTGGCTCCTCCACTGTTTGGTGGGGCAGCGTGCCCAAACCTGACTGAGTTTCAGACATGCCAACCAGGGCCCTGTGAGGGAGAGCAGAGCCTCTACAGCCTAAGGGTGGGACCCTGGGGACCCTGTTCTGTCCCGATGCCAAGGCAAGCTAGACATGCTAACAAACCATCCAAGGAAAGTGAAAAACCTTCCAAAGAGGGTGACAGACAGTCCAGAAAGGGCGAAGAACCATCAAAAGGTGGTGACAAACAATCCATAGAGGGTCTAAAGCTGTCTAGTGAAGGCGACAAACAGTCAAAAGGTGGGGACAAACAGACCAGGGAGGGTGAAAAACAGCACAAAGAGGGAGACAAAGGGTCCAAAAAGGGTGACAAACAGTCTAAAGATGGTGACAAACCATCACGACCCAACAGAAAATTGGGCAGGGCAAACAGGAAACCAGACAGGCCATCTCGACAGGCAGATAGGCCAAAACGACAGAAAAAGACTAAAAACAAAGAGAAAATGAGAGAGAAAGTCCGGGAGAGGTTAAGGGAGAGAGGCAAGGTGAAGGATCCAGAAACCAGAGAACTCATCAAGAAAAAGAGGAACAGGAACCGTCAGAACCGCCCAGGAGGAAAATTCTGGGACCTGCAGATCGGCTACCAGACCAGAGAAGTGACCTGTGTGCATAAGAGTGGGACTGTTGAAGCTCTCAGGTAAGAATGACTCAAATAAGTTTCCTCATGTCTCAACTCACAGTATGTCCATGGTCCATCTACAGTCTGTTTCTATCCAGTGCCTTTGTGTGACTGTATCCTTTTGAGGGTATACACTACTTTTGCAATAACATTTTGGCTTGTCTTACCTTAAACGCTAGTCTAGATGATAGTTACATCCAAAAAATGCACCTATAAATCTGGGCATTAATCAAACTTTCCCATCAGGTTTCAAATCCAAATTAAATTCTTGTAAAAATATGGATTGTCATGGACAGCCAGCAAGTTACAGAAAATGCTGCTCATATAGGATGAATCCACACCTGAAGAAGGAAGTAGTGTGTAAATATGTGGTGGTCGTGGATGGACTTGTACCTCATCCAACTTTCATGCGGGACACTGGAATTACCGTCACAGACTTGCAAATAATGTTTGCATAACCACATAACCAAAGTCTTCCCCTAACCTTAACTAAATGTTTTAGTTGCCAAACCATAACCATTTCTTGATTTTTTCCCCTTACCTTAACCATACGGGGGTGTCCTGTTGGTGTAGTGGTTTAAGGTGCTTAAAAAAGTTGCTATATAATTGCAGCCTCTCCAGTTTGACCGGTCACATTTGTTGTCATTCACCAAATCCCTCTTTCTCACTTCCCTCACGACTGAACTTCACCTTAACCTATTAACTCTGTCGTCTCTCTTGAATATAATATTCAGTCAGAGCTAACTGAGATTATGCAAAGTCCTACATGAAGGCTTGAGTTTAACTAATGGACTGCGCCTGTTGTTCTCTCACTGTAATAACATGATATAAACATGATATAGACTTGCTAGTGATATTCATACATTATTTATCATGCCTCATGTCTTCAGTAATGATGACAGAGGTTGTGATGAAAATTGATGTCAGTTTCAATTAGTCAATGTTCAACCTCGATTTGTCTATAGCACTTCCTCGGTGTACATTCAGCTTCTTCCAGCTCAATAGCGCTGGATACATTTGTCAAAGCTCCACTGTGAGATCCATGCTAAGATGTACAGTTGCTTTACATGTTTTCCTCCAGCCACGAGCCATGCTCTTTGTGAGGAGATGAATGGCCTCATTCTGTCTCTTGTGATATATTTGCTTATAATGCCTGTGAGAAGGTCAGAAATCAGAAATCGTTGAACTTGAAGCAAATGCCACTCGTCAATTCCACCCTTCAAGTAGAACATTACATTTGGATGATACACATTAGGAAAATGTAGCAAATATTGAAGGAGCTGTAGACCGCAGCATCTGCAAGCGCAGCCGTTGTCATAGTCAAAATCTCCTGATCCAGGCTCGAAGGAGGTTTGAAGGAGCTACCGTTTGCTGCATCTACATTTGCTGCAACGACTCATTCACTTGGGAAAATATATTTGTGGTCCCAAGAGGGTGATCCCTAATTAATATGTAATAATTAATAGGCAGAAAATTACAATGACATTCACTGACTACATTACTACTCTCCATTATTGAACCTTTTCTGTTTTGGACATACTTATTGTTGGAATTTGTGTGATACTATAGAATGTCACATATTTCCCATCAGAAAACTGAATGAAATCAGCTGGTTTCCTTCACCTATCCTCTTATGCACAGGACAAGCTTTCTATTCTTTGATAAGTTTTCACCTTAATTACAAAATATGTTGTTTGTCAGTGTCTTCCAAAACAACTGTGAATGTTACAAAATCATTTGAATGAGAATTTTCAGTTTTGCCACCTCTTTGATTAAGGTTTGGTTAAGATTAGCCAACCAAAACGACTGTTAAAGTTAGGGAAAGATGGTTGAAAGAAACAAGCATTGACTGTTGGTAGAAGAGAAGATGCTTTGGCCAAGAAACATACATGTCCTCCCTGACTGCCTCCCTAAGACGTCTAACACTGTCGCGCTAAACAACCACAAGAGGTAGTTTGTAAACACTGTATTCTAAGTCTGTAAGTCTGAAGTACTTGTCGTATTGCATTATAGTATCTGAAAGTATTAAAGTTTCATCTTGTCTTATGGTATCTCCAGCCTATGCTCTCAAGAGACATTGCCGGTGACTTTCCAAGCCTGCGTCATGACCAAAGACTGCGATGTGACTGAATGGTCTGAATGGTCGGCTTGCTCCAAGGAGTGCTACGACCCCAACGGGCCCAAAGGGGAGCGCACTCGCACCAGAAAAGTGAGCCAGTTCCCAATCAACGGAGGAGCAGACTGTCCAGAACTGGAGGAAAAGGAGCCCTGCAGCCCCCAGAGAGACAGAGTGCCAACCTGCATCGTGTAAGTAATGCACAATGACAGAAAAGATTATCTGCTAGTTTACTTAAAGTTAACTTGCATAGAAGTACTATTTTCTGTAAGTCAGAAAATTTGTCTGATTTATGAAGAACAATGTTACTAAACATGATCTGAGGCACCGGCTGCTGGTGCTAGCTATAAGTATTCAGATCATAGGCCGGCTATGCCAAATCACTTTGCATTTTTATAAGGTTATCATGGTCTTCACCATTTTTCATAATAACATTTCTCCTGTGTCAGTTGAGTGGAAAAATAAACAAATAAGGCATTTGTGATGTTAGAATGCCAGAATGCAAATGGAATTCAGTGGAACTGACCCCATGCCAAACCTTCCCATTAACTGAAGGAAAGATTTACATTCAAACAATCATGGGTGTCCCTGTTAGCTCGTTGGCTCCAGTGCCCCACACTAACATTATAGCCTCTACACACTGCTGAGTGATAGCAGGCCTAGAGGGATTGAGATAACCATTCTAGGCCATATTACTTGATCATACAGCCATAATGCTTTAAACTGAACTGCAACATTTCTTTCCAGAAGCAATTTCATGGTAACTCAGGATAAACTTTGGCCTTGTTGTTAACAGTTTTCGACATTACATATTCTCTGAGATTAAAGTGGTAAATATATGAGAAAAAAATTGAAAAAACAGTGGTAAGTGAAGTGCAGCTTGAAGAATGAACCTCCCCAGTTAAGACTATGTGAAAAAAATAATAATACTTATAAGATGTGTAAAACATCTGTTCAAATTCTAAATTCACAGTGTGTAAGTGCATCATGCCTTGCACTCCAGCAAGGGGTGTTGGTCCCAGTGCATGACCATACATCATCCACCGTAACAGAGTGGACTATGCCATAAAATTGTAGCTTTTCTGGAGCTTTTATGTGTGTCAGCAATAGGCCTGTTGCAATTATTACATGATTGCAATTTTTTGAGGTGATTGTGATCATTTTGCACAATCATTAGATTCCCCAATAAGGAGAGTTTTAAGTCAATAGCAGAAATGTTGCAGCAACTAGAATGTGAAATAGGTGTTTTTCCATCTTCTGGCCTGGGTTGAGGCAAATAAACTCTACTTGAGCGCAATATTTTAATATCAATAGGAAGAAAACATGGGAAAAAGAGCATGGCTGTCTAGACAAGTGCTTCTTAAATTATTGTCAGTATTTTTTTTCACATATATTTTAATAATGTACCCCTTATATTAAATATTTTTTTACCTCCTTACCAGCACAAAACATTTTTAGAGAAAATAAATGTCAATATAAAGAGGCACAATACAGCGCTGTGCCGTCAGTGTCTTATTAGTGATTCTTCAACAAACTTGTAACTGAAAAAAACTTAAATGCTACGTTTCAAATGTTTAGAATCCCTCGCTGTATTCATGGCCAAGTATTTTTCTTCTCACCATGCAATAACACTAAGACGGCATTGTAGTTTCATTGAACTGTAAGATGCACTTACAATTTAGTGAAAAACGTGGGCCTCTCATTCTCTGTGGCAGGGAGGCAACTGCAGTGATCAATCCTTTTCCAGGCACCGTCTGCTTCTTTGCTTTGTTTTTAGTCATTGCAGAAAAGGAGACCTCACACAATACAGTGGATTCAAAGGGTAATAGCTGCTCCAAAGCTTTCCTTCCCAGCTCAGGGTGCTCCTTCTTTGCGCACACCCAAAACTTTATGAGAGTGGATGTGTCAAACTTCACTTCCAAGAGTTTTTCCTGATACTTCAGTAAAGACAAATGGGTGTCTCAGCCAATTAGCTGTGCAGATGTATCCTCCATGTCAGGGAAATAAGAATTAAAATTGTCTTCACTGGAGCTCTCTCTACATCCTCACTGGTGGGGGGGAGCATCCACCCGAGGAAAGCAGGTGAAATCCCCCTCTGCTCCTACCCTTTTCCACAGCTTCTTCAGGTAATCGGCCACCTTGTCAGTGACTGACTTAATTAAAGTTTATTACTCTGAAAACAGTCATGCAACACAGGACTAATTTTCTTGGACGCCAGTGTTTCCCTGTGGATGACACATTGAGTGCACTGCCCTTCTGGGTTTTCTTTTCGAATTCGTGCCGTGAGCCCGTCCTGGCCTGTCATTGATGCAGCTGCATCAGTACAGACACCGGTTTCCAGTTCAAACCGTTTTCACAGAAGAATGCATTATCAGCATAAAGAAGATTTCCTCTCCTGTTGTTTTCACTTCCAAAAATATATGGTCACAAATGTCATCAGGTACAGCTTATTGCTTTCATGAGATACATTCATGCTTTCCACTGACATCTGTCAAATTCATCGAGCTGGAGTATTTGGAGTTTTCCCATAACTTGATCAACAATGTCTGTTCTGCTGTAAACAGTTTCATTTGACAAAGACACAGATTTTTATTTATCTGCTGCGTTTTTGTTCAGCATAGTCTCGGCCAATACAACAGCGACTGGAATTAAGGTCTTACCGTGTACTTTGGCTTTTTAACATGCTGGTGACGCTTCCTGGTTAGCACGCACTCATTGGCTGTTGGCAGGTTTCTGATCGAAGCCTCCCTAATTTCAAATTGTAAATATCAAACTGGGCAACCTCCGATCCAGTCGGCTACCTTAAGATTAGGTCTGTCAACTCCTCACTCTACAGGATCATTTGAGCAGCCTTGGCTTTGGAAAGCCCCTGCAATTGCCAGGAGGGTCAAATCAAACCCAAAATCAGCCCAATTATCTTGTAGTGTTCAGCCAGCATAGAAGGAAGAAGCAAACAAGTATTTCCATGAATGACAAAGCAAGGAAAAAAAAACAATAACCTCAGGGACAAGTGATACATAGATGGACAGAGAGAAGGATGTAACTCCCGGGCTCTTCTAGACCCGGACACACACCGCACACACACGCGCGCGCACACGCGCACACACACGCACGCACGTATATCAACCATGTCAACCATGTCATCACTCAAATTTGTAACCGGTTGTATCTCTGTGGAAATTAGTTCTCAGGGAAAAAATGTAATTGTTGACAGACTTGGCCAAAGTAGCAGACATATAACACAGCTCAGAATCACACTACAATAAAGTGTCACAGTCAAGTCACATATTACATTTTGTTACTGCATTATGCTGTTAGTACGGGCTTCCGTATTACTCCGTATCCGCATCACTTCCTGAATGCATTTCAAATTTACCCCTTAACCCTGATTGTCGCTAATTCGCATCACACCGCTTCCATTCAGACTGCAGCTGAGGTAGCGTATATATTCCCCCAATGCCAGTTTGTGCATATTCAATACAAACCTAGGAACCTTTTGCAAGCACTGGTTTATGCCTGTTGTTGCTAATTTGCATCACACCTAAATTTATATCTATTTTGTGTGCTATAGACAAATTAATAATCTCCGCTTGATTTAGCAATAACACAAATAATTAATTGTTCTTATATAATTGTAAATACATTCATGCATCAAGGTGTTAAAAGCCCTCTAACGCTTTTGTGAACAGAATCCCTTCATTTCCCAAAAAGCTTTTATTGTAAAACAGTGTTCAGTGTCAAATTGTAGTGAATTGCGAGGTTTCCATACATTCCTTTAAATGTGGCTATAGCCATCTCATGGCACTTGTAGGTTACTATAAAATACAGTTAGTGACTGAAAGTGCACAGTAATGGTAAATGACAAATGGACTATTCTTAATTAACATTACTATAATTAATCGCAATTATTTGTTTTACTTGTATATTTTTGTAGTTCAAAAATGCATTATTGTGACAGCCCGGGTCAGCATTGTGAAGTCCCAGCCCACAAAAAATAAACAACATTTGAAAAAGGTCAAATGGAGTAAACTGCATGACCTGCTATTGAGTATGAATATGTGTAAAAACTGGATTCTTAGTAAATGTGATTTTAAATTAGGCTTTCTGAAAGTTCTGATTTCACCATATGTTTAATGCAAGAAGTCATCTTGTCATTTTAGTGGTCTGTTTTACGGGTAGAGGAATCAGCCATAATGTGAAACAGTAAATCAGACAGGCAGTTTGACAGACAGCAGGATGAGGGGCAGCAGCTCTGTCTATGGTGCTTAAAAAGGGCTCTGGTTGACTGTCCCCATCTGGACATCTTAAAGCCCCAGGATGCAGTGCTTCCCAGGGGTCTCATTGTTCCGCAGCAGTGCAGAGGCAACTGAGAGAGCGAGACAGAGAGACTTTGCTCATGAATATGGAACCTTTCACTGGTCGACCTCAAATTAAATCCATTATCAGCATGGAGGCAGGGTTTACATTTTCTGACCTCAAGGTGAAAACCACAATGTATAACTGCTGAAGCAGACTGCTGCCAATCCAACAAGAAGAAACAAACCCATCTATGAACGGCCACCGCAATTACCAACCTCCTTTCAGCTTAAAAAATTGAGTCTGGGAGAGCTCTCAATAGACAGTCTGGTTATACTGCAAATCCTAATGTTGTAAACAAAGAGCTAAGGTCAAAAGCATTAAAAGTACTTATAAAAAGAGATGCTCAATCAGGCACAACCCATTCTGTTCAGTGCCAGCAAAAAACATGTTACCTTTTAGTTTCATTCATTCATGTTCTAAATAGTATAGCATATATACCGTAATCAATATATAGAGAGTCTAATAGCGCACACAGAAACAAAGAAAATTACACATTTTGAAGGAGAAAGATTGTCACTCAAAATGAGCTTCACACTTCAAACTACACAGAGAAGAAAAGAAAGTGAAGAAAGAAAGAATTTAACCATTCGATGCACAACATGGGTGAAAAATGAACTGTATTCATTCCCTTTGTTGAAGTGTTTGTTTTCAACTGCCACATGCCATTATTTTTATTTTTCCCTTCTTGCTATAATTACAAAAAAGACCCATGTGCATTCATTATGTAATTTGAGGAAGGCACTGGTTATATTTGGAAATGTTTGCACTTAGGAACATATTTAGTGCCACATGCACATTTACATGCACGTTAAACTCTGCACAAGACCGGTGAATGACAGGCAGAGAGAGAGAGAGAGAAAAGGAAATTTACAGTGTAAGTTGAATGAACAGAGACTGCAGCTCTGCATCTTCTCAAGATTAAAGTGGAGCCACCATGTGTTACCCCCCCTTGACTTGACGATTCTGATTCGACTATGTAAATCCTTAGTTGGGGACAGCCTTAGTACCAGATGTTGCCAGCCTCACTGCCTACAGCAGTATTAATATTAATATTATTATTATATGTCTTATATATATTTTTTAATCGCAGTCACAAATGACCCATGTTTGTAAACTTGATGTAGTAATACATCATAAGAAAGAAAAATAATTTTTGTTAATCAAAAAAAAAGATGAAAACGGGGATTATTACATGATGAAATAAATATATTTCAAAAGAAATAGCAAATAAACCCGTATAGGAAATGAATACGCGCCATTTGTTACCAAGGTTGTACATTAGAAGGGGCTTGGATAGTTTCTGCATCAAAGGGTTAATTGTCTAGCGGGATCTGGAGATTGGTAGAATGAGAAAGTGCAAAATGACAAAGGAAACACAAATCTTTTGAAAGAGAAGCTGGAGGGACAGGCAAATGAGAAGTTTGAGTACAACTGTTTTAGCACACTTGACAAGACAAATAATTTTTCACAAAACATTTGATTTTATGCCCAGAAGCAGGCATCAAGTATTTGTGTTTCCTGCTTCTAAACACTGCTCAGTCAATGTGAAGGGGGTCCTAACGCCTGCTCCACAAGCTTCTTGTAAAAGAAAGTGAAAAAATATAAGCAGAGAAAAAATGATAATGGAAGAAAAAATCTCCCTCCAAATAATATTAGATATTGATCTTTTGGGAGCTTATTAATTGTATGGACATTTTTATAATTGTAGAGCATCATCATTACGGTGGCCGAAAGAGCTTGGGCCATCGCCTGATACAGAAACACTGTAAGTCCAACAGCCAAACTTATAGCTGGACGCAAAAAATTTACAAATACGTTGACTAATCAGTGATGTTGGGAAATGCTTGTTTTAGTTGTAACATTGTAATTTTGTGATTCTCTGATCTTATTGGAGATGTATCTAGCCTTTTTCTCATTCTAAGCACATTGTGAGGTCATAAAAATGCATGACATTGTAATGACAATATAAACAAAATTAGGAGGACAGAAATGCAATAAATTTGTCAAATATTACCACTGATTTGGTAAACTTAAGCCGTGCATGGTCTGTCACAGGAAATGAAGCTTAACATCCAGTGACCTTTGGTCTGACCGCTGTAGCTTCATATATGCACCTGGTCAATAAGAATTGGGTTTGGAGCAGACCAATAGACCAGACTGATAGTTTGTATGTCAGCAACTCACAAACACTCAATAATCCTATCCCCTGCGTCTTCATCTGGAAAGCTGATACTGATCGACAGCGTTTGAAAGAACATTTGGTGTATTGATCAATGCTGTTCTAATCAATAATTTGTTTTAAGAAAGGACAATATGGGGCTGATATACTGTATCAGACTAACTCTTGTTGTGTCCACGTCTGTCTTCAGTTACAGCTGGAAGACCACGGAGTGGACAGAGTGCAGGGTGGACGTGCTGCTGAGCCAACAGGACCGTCGGCGTGGAAACCAAACTGGGTTATGTGGAGGCGGGATTCAGACCCGAGAGGTCTACTGTGTCCAGACCAGCGCTGATACCCCACCCAACCTCAGCTCGCTCAGGAGCAAAGAAGGTGACTTTCCCAGCATCAAACAACAGACGGAGCTTTAGCCAGCCTAAAGTCACAAATCAACACAAAGTAGCTGACACAGTGTATCAATAACTAGAGAACAAATAGCGATCAAGAAAAGCACAGCAACTCATTATGAATTATTGGATGACGGCCTCTAATCACGTTCCACGCAGCATTTGTTGCTGTCCCTCGTGGGCCCTTGTAATCAGATGGGCCCTGGGGCAATGCCCCGGCTGCACCGGTGGCACTTACGCCACTGCTTCTATCTATCTAGACATCTATCTTATTTAAAAATTTAACCAAAGACAGGAGGTGCCTACTTTTGAAAAAATAAAACAAAACCACAATCTTTCCCAACCGTAAACCAAAGTATTTTAGTAGCCTAAACATAACCACAACGGGACACAGGGAAAAATGCTTTTTTGACAGGGATGGATAATTACTATTAACAAAGACCAAGAAAGCTGGATTTGAAAAACACCAGCTTTAGTTCACAAATATTGCTTAATTGTAAAATACTGGGACACTTTGCAAGTAATCAACTGCACAGTAACTGCATAGTAATCATTATATTAGAATTAGGCAGAATTCATATTGCCTATCAAGGGTTGTTATCAGCCCAAATAACAAACAAACAACATCAGGGGAGAGTGGGGTGGCAGGTAGAAATAGGGTTTGTAAATGATCGAATGTTTAATGGCTCATGTTTTGAGAGAGGCTATTCAAAAGCAGCTTTAAATCACATCTGTGAGAGCTGAACGACAGACAAAAAAGTTGTGTACGGGCTTATGAATCATCTGCTTAGGCGTGCATTTCACACGCATGAATATGCGCACACACACACACACACACACACATACCCACCAAAGTCCTGTCATCTGTTCCAGCTCTGCACAGAGTCTCTGATATCCCTCTTCTTCTTACCAGCCATGTGTTAACCAGGGAGAAGAATTACAGCGGTTTTCCCCTCATATCAAATCTGGGACTGAGCTGTATGAATATTCTAATGTACATGCAAAAACTACACAGAGGGGATAGCAGATGAAATATTAGCTTCCACATAAATTGGTGGCATTACTGAGCACACAAAGGCTGGAAAGAGGTAGCACGACTGTGCTCATGCAGCACTGACACAATAAGTCTCAGTCCATCTGGCTGGGGAGGCAGAACTGGCGGCTGCTGCTAGAAATTATTCAGATCAGATGCTCACAACCAGCCACACGCTTTCATCCTTCAGTGTCAACATTCCACATTGCCAATTTTGTTTACAGCAGTGAGTCTGTTCCCCGTTACATTTATTGTCAGGGTGAGATAGGAAATAGTGTCTGTAGTTATGAGCCAAGCCGCCCTGCCTGCATGTTAACACCGTAATTGCTGTGGAAAGTGTTTTTGGGTAGAAGCAGGGAAGCATTAATGGAGGTATTATGATAGGTGAAAAATGGCTGGGTTTGACTTCAAGGTGTCACTATGCAGGAGGAAGGAGAAAAGTGAGACGAAAGAAGAGTGAAATGGATGTGGTGGGTAAGGAGAAGCTCAGCTGCAGTGCCACATCCTCTTTCTGTTTTCACCCTGCACCTGTCCTTGCTCTCAGACAGGTTTGTGCTGTCATGTATAATTTTAGCCACTCCCCAAACCATGATGCAAATCAGAGTCTTTTTCCATCCCCCATGTTCATGCAGACTTTCTTATTTCAGCAGTTTCTGTGTTGATTAGGCCGCATCCAATTCATTCACTTTACAGTGGAAATGTCTTTTCAGAAATCATCTGATTGATTTTGTTCCAGTAAAATGTGCTTATTTCCATCTCACATGAAAAAAATCTAAATGTTCCACAAAAAGTACCAACCACAAAACTGTGCACAAGCCAAAGCTGGGGAAATGGCAGAGCATGGTCAAAGATTGTATGCCTCTGAAACACAAATTACATCTCTCCTAAGGTGTTCCATGGAACCTAACTGCTTGTGTCTATTGGTGGGGATCCCTCCCAGAGTGGGAGCAATCACTTCCGTAGAGTTAGTAAATAGTACACAAGAAGTCGGAAATGATATAGTTACTGTGGTCTTGATAAGAGCACAAATGAAGAATGCATTCAAAATCAAAATTGTTGAAGTCAGTGCTGAAGGTGGCTTACAATATTTGCAGTGGAGGATTTCACTGTGATGAGCCAAGTGGCTCTGTGGAGGTAGCTGTAGCCAATTAAACTGATGTAATCTTATAAATTTGCTTTCAAGGATGATCGGCAAATCCCAGAGTGACTGAGATAGGATGGTCTGGCAGTAATATCTGTGAACACACGTTGTCGCCCGATTACTGGGAGCTACTACTCATCCCAGATCTCTGCTCGTTCTTGATTTGATTTACTCACAGTTGGAAAGCAAAGGATGTACTCAGCCCAAACATTCTGCCCCACTCATGCAAAGATTACTTCAGACAACATCACTATTTGTTACAGTGCTATGTGCTTACCATAACTAGCATGTTGTTCTCCCTCGTGGCACATATATCCAGTTTCTCATGTTCGTCTGAAGATAACAAGATATTTAAAGATGCTGTTAGTGTGACTGTTGTTCCTGTTCTGGTTCATGCCGATGCGAAACCCTTTTGGGGAGCAAAGTGTGACATGCTGTATAACAGCTGTGGCACTGTGATGCTGTGAATCCTTGGCTGGAAAGGAACCGGGAGTCAGGTTATTGATGGCAATTGGCATGTAGCAGTGCTGTGCCGTCTCTGAGGTTCCTAATTTGGCTGCTGGAAGCTCAGCACAGGCAAGACGAGACCATCTGGCACAGGGATACCTGAGCAAGGTCAGTCTGTGTGGAGGTTTCCATTAATCAGCCTGTGTTATGGTGGTGGAGAGCTGATCAGACTGGACAAGGAGGGGAGGAGAACAAAGAGGCTATTGTCCTCCAAATGTTCTTAATGAACCATGGGGATGAAGAGCTGCTTATAAGAAGCAGGATGTTCTGTTAGCGTAACAACACCTGGCCCTGTTGGAATATAGTCATTAACAGGTCATCAGGTCGATCTAATTCACTGAGCCTGTTTGTGCAGTGGCATTTTAATACCTCCCAGTTGTATAGGTGCAGCTCTCTAGAATGACATGGCATTTGCCATTTTCACAGCCAGTACTGACTATTTTGCTTTGTCCTCATTTTTAGCCATGTTCGTGGAGTTGCTCCAGGGATGGCTGTATCGATGTTGGTCGGTCCAGACTGAAATATCTCAAAAACTATCGGATGGGATGTCATGGAATTTTGTACTCACAATCCCCAGAGTATTAAACTAACAGTAATAACTTTGGGTGACCTCAAACAAACTGTTCATATAGAACTCCACAACCGGGTAGGGTATAGTAGAATAGGGTGCAATAATAAATCACTGTCTTCTCAGCCAGACACAGTACAGTCCTTACACACCTTTTCACAGCTGTGCCAGTCACAGTGGGGTGTGACAGAAATGATACATGAAATGGGGGGCAGCGTGCAGAAAGCAGAAAAATAATTAGTTGTTCTGAAGCATTAGAATGGCACTGTGAGAACATGTGACAACACAGGGCTGCAGCCAGAGGTCGTTTTCATTTGTTGAGAATTTTGCACATTTTATTGCCAGTGCCTCCCGCCACAATCTCTTTGCTTTTACTTCCAAACCCATTTCAATACAAAGCATTTAGCTCCCATATAAAATGCTAAAAGGTCTAAACACAACAACCAGTTCTTTTTAAAGTCAGTGTGTAAGTTTTAGTGGCATCTAGTAGTGAGGGTTGTGAATTGCAACCCACAGCTCAGGTACCGTCCACTCCGCCCTTTGCACGCTCTGTCCGCTCTAGTGCTAAATAATACGTGCGGTCCTCCATTTGTTCAAATATCACTTCTCTTCTAATAAACCAGACGACTACTACTACTACTACTTCTTCTTTTGTATTCAATGTAGTGATGAAAAGAGCTCTTTAGAACAGTTTGTCCGTTTGCGCTACTGTAGAAACATGGCAGCTCAACATGGCAAATTCCATGTAAGAGCACCTGCGGTGTATGTAGATAAAAATGTAAAAGGATCATTTGATGTCATTGGAGACACATAATGAAATTTATTTCCATGTCAGAATGTTAGCACTCCTATTCCATGGGAATCGTACAGGATTCCCAAACGGATGGTCCAATCTAACAGCCTGATTGGATGGCTGATCTGACAGCTTTACACGATAAAATTAGTCCCATATATCAGCCAATTCAAGTTTTTATTGTTCTCTACATGAATACCTATGTTTAGCTACTGTAAAGACAACTACATCAAGCTGTGTAAAGGAATTAGAAAATTAATTGATTATTTGCTGATAGATGATGATGATAGATGAAATAGCACCTAATCACGTGGCAGCGTTTGACATATCACCTGTTGTGTACCACCACATGTACGCACACTTAAGGGACACTATTAAAGGATGCACCTTGGGCCAAGTGGAGGCAATTTGCATGTGAATGAGTTTCAGTCCTGTTGTGGCACAGAGAGAATGATTCATCAGCCTGATGACCTTGCAGAGAGTCACCTACAGCTGTTTGCAGCAGAGGTCCGCTGAGAATCAGGCCAAATGGAAGACTGGCCTCCTGTGCAGTGAAAATTAAAAAAAAAAACTTTGTTGTTTCAAAGATGTCTGTTTTTGGAACATTTGGGGGTTGGGAGTGTTGTGAATGAAAGAGTAAAATGTTTGGATTCTTTGGCTTTGATTTAAAGCTGAAAAGATTTGTTTCTGGGGGGATAAGGGCTTCTTAAGGCAGGGGTATTGAAGATCTAAAAGACCAACTTTTTCTCTTTTCTTTTTTCATGTCTTTGTGGTTTGCTCTGTTAAACTATACTGATTTCACATAACTTTGAAGACTGGAGTTGAAATACAGTAGTCACTGCACAGCATATATACATGGCCTTCTGTACAGCTTTAAAAATTGATGTGTAAGTTAGTAACTCATATTTTGCAAGAACTGTGGACCAAAATTCCTACAGTGTGCCATATCTCGTCTGTGTCTCCATAGCGCTGCGACCAATGGACAATGATCTGTGTCTGGGTATCCCCCTGAACACCACCCAGCTCTGCCACATCAGCTGTCCTGTTGAGTGTGAGGTGTCCTTGTGGAGCGCCTGGGGACCCTGCACCTTTGAAAACTGCCAGGACCAGGCCGCCAAAAAAGGTAAGAATAACAATTTTGAGAATTACAGTGTCAATAGTTAAGTATGGTAGTTAATGAAATTGTGTAGGTATGTCAGACTTTGATGCTTGCTTCCCTGAATGTGAGCACAAGCATAAATGCAAGTGCGATTTCAAACCAAATGAATACCAAAATTGCTCTTTGTATAAACACAACCTTCCCTCTTTGCTGCAAGCAGGTTCACTTACATCCAAAAACTTTGTGTTGACATCAAAGTAGGGCCCCTGATGCTGGAGACTCCTTTTATGTGAAATTAGGTCAAGCATGTGTTTTGCCTAAGGGCAAAGATTGCTAACACAAATGACATAGCATAAAGACTAGGTTGGCAGGTTGACAAACTGGTTCCATGAAATGTGGAAGTACTTTGTTCAAAAGTGACAATGACATGCCAAAACCACATCGAAACTGCATGCTTTAATCTGTGACATTACATCAAGTAGGGAGTGCAACGGATCACAAAACTGATGGTTTGAACTTCCGATCATATAATGTTTTTGAGTCATGGATCAAATCATTTTCTATCATCAAAACAAAAGAAGAAGTTAGGATTAAATTAAGTTTAAAATGGCTTCTTTGGCTGTGGTGTAGCCCCTCTCTGTCTGCAGCCACCACAGCACTGATTGGCTACATGTCACAAGTAGTAGCCTATTAACACTGAAGGCTGCTGGGCCACAGATGAGCGAAGACACTGGAGCTGCTCCGGTGAGCCAGTGGAGCTGTGTGCCCAAGGAAAGGCAGCAGAGATTACTGAAGCTACAGTAAACATTATAATCAGATGATCCATTTCTATGGTGACAGCCCAGTGTCCCAGTTATACCTCTGAGAATGCCCAAGTCGCAGCCTACGGGGTTTTACTCAGTGGAGGCGAAAGCCACACACAGCTTTTAAGCCCTAACCAAGTCACTGCGTTTCAGAGTTAATCCTAAAATGCACATGTCTTTTCTATCTTTTCTCTACACCTCTGCATTATGATTTATGGAATTACTTCTTACTGTTGTTCACACTATGATGGTTAAACTTTGCAATGACTCGCAATAATGGGGGGGTCTGTACAGATCACAGATCAACTACAATCCATTGCACCACTAATGTCAAGCGATTACGGTGACAAAAAAGTTTGTGGTATTTTCTTTGTTGGCACTGATTTGTGAGGATACGATGTCATCACCAATCAGTTTCATGCCTGCCTTTAAGTAGCCAGAGGATCCCCATTACGCTGTATTTGCCATAAAAAAATCTTTACATTTAAGGTTGTGGCTGTTAAGCTACCACTTCCTGTGTCGACACTTGAAGGTAAGGCTTGTCTCTCCGGTCTTTTGGGTGCTTCTCAAGTCTCTTATTTGTTGTTTTCTCGCTTGAACCGGAAGTTGTTCCGCTCCGCCATCTTGCAGGCCGTCCCAAAGCTCTTTATTTGCGCGGGAGCGAGGATCGATCTCTGAGGAGATATGAGCGAGGATACACCAGTGCATCCTTCGCGGAAGTCTTTTAATGACGGACACGCCCCCTTACTGGGTAGCCATTATATTGATTGGACGCTGCACCTGAACGGACTGATCTGATACATTAAACTCAAGTATCACTGCAAAGTCTTATATTTGAGTGGTTTTATGATTCACTGTCTTGTTAAAATCTGTGTTCATTTTAGGTCTGAACAACAAAAGCCCCACACACAACTTTATTTATTTATTAGAAAGATCTTATTTCTTTTATTTTTCCCATCAACTTTTATTATGGAGCTACTTAAAGTCAGAGAGTCTGTCAGCAAGAAACATGTTTTACAAAATTTATTGTCATTTCTATTCAGTCACATGTGAGGCTGCTCATTCCTGTGTTTAGTCTGACTATACGACGATAAAACATAATAAACACATAAGGAGTCGGACAAGTCACTAAACTGCACCAAAGCATCTGATGAAAGCAGATCATATTCTGGGTCATTCAATAACAACTTTACAATCAGAATCAATATAAATGCAGATAATATAAACATTGTTCCAGTAGAAATTATCCTGTGCCTCTGAGCAGGACATACAGTAACATATAATTATTCCTGTGCAGGTGATTTTAAACAGGGAACAGAGAATCATGCTGCTCTGCACTGATAACTGTGAGACTTTATTAGTATCAACACAGTACACATGTATGTAGACACAAACTCCATCAAAAGTCTCTCCAGCTGTTAGAGCCGACTGACAGCTGATCCAGCTGTGATCAGCTGACGCCGTCATCAGAAACAGACGTCGCTTCACCTGGCGGTTCGGCAGGAAAGGATGTCTCAAGTCTCTAAAAACACAATTCCTTCTCTCCTGGCTTGGTTTCCTTGCGTCTCTCCATGCATCCCCTGTGGGCGGGACTAAGACACAAGGAAAAGAGCAACTGAGGGAAACGTGGATGCCATTAACAGACTTGAGAAGCACCCTGTGTAACTTGATACCAAAACAATAGCATGTGGTGTGTTTAGCTAATGTACCCAATCCTCCTGATATTTTAGGTAAGCCGGATGTCAGTTGCTGAACATATTTGCATACTGTGTATTGTTTGTAATGCCCAGCCCCATATATTGCTCACACGTGTTTATGCAGGTCAACATAACTTAACAAAACGTCTCACACTGTTGTTCTGTAGTATTGAGGGATGTGTTTTCTGGATGTATCTTCTATGGTTTCATAGTAGTATTAATCATTAAATATTAAATGTAGTATCAGTATCAAAGTTACAATCCTGGCCTTGTGGCAGAACTAAAGGAAAGCATAAGTTTCACTGTGCTAATCCATGAGCAGGGGTGACGTGGTCACTGCTTCAGTCTTTAATTATGCCTGGAACAGCGGCGTCCGCCATGACTAATGCATGTTGATTCTGCCTTAATGAAGCGCCTCAAATGAAAGGGATGGCTGGAAATTCTCCTCCATGCATCTTAATGATGGATCCACTCCCACTCGCTCGTTTGCTCACTACACTGTGTCTGTTTTTGCTGTCGTTTACTGTACACATGCACACACGTACGCAAGTGTGTGCAGAAATTTGTGGACTCAGAATTGGTTCTCCTTGCTTCAATCATGCATTGTTCCTGACAAAGAACATGAGAATCAGTGGGCTGTGATTACAACATGTTAGTGTGGTGAATGCTAGTTTATACTTTGTACTTGTATGATACGTTATGCAGAGGAATGCACACCTTTCTACCATTTGGCCAACAGCTAGGGCTGAACAATTTCTAATTGGGTTTTCTTTGACCAACAAAGCGATTTTATTTTTATTTTTTTTATTTTAACTCTGCACATACATTCTAGTATTAAAATAAAATGTTATGTATAAACTCACAGAAGATGTTTCTACAGGAAAAGTTTCTGATTAAATGTTGCCATTGCTTGTTAATTGTCCTTCCAGGATTCTACAAAAATACATTTTCACAATGTGTGAGATATAAGAATTGGTAATATATTTGTCATTACTTAATAGTTTGTCAATAATAATATATAAGATTAAATATAATCATGACATCGGAAGTGGCTTTTACTTACTTATTATAAATCAACAAAGTCAACAAAACAAACATGCTCTCAAACATTTTTGTTTTTAAGAAGCAATAGTTAATGGAACCATCTCAAAATTGTGCCAAGATGACTATTAAGACCCCAATTCATGGGGAAAAAAATCAATCTAACATTTAGCTTATAATACAAATCATTTTTTTCTACACTTGACATAAAAGATGTCACTCATAGAGACAAACCCACAGAGTTAACACCAAGCTTTGCACTGTCCATTTTGTCCTTTTGGGGTCCACAAAGCAGCCAGTATCTGGTGTGACCACCATTTGCCTCACGCAGTGCAACACGTTCCGGACCCCCCCATACAGTGAAACTGCACATTTTCAAGTGGCCTTTTATTGTGGCCAGCCTAAGGCACACCTGTGCAATCCCCATGCTGTCCGATCTTTTTATGCCACACCTGTGAGGTGGATGGATTATCTTGGCAAAGTGCTCACTAACCCAGATTTTTACAGATTTGTGAACAATAGTTGAGAGAAATAGAAATTTGTGTACATAGAGAAAGTCTTAGATCTTTGAGTTCAGCTCACGATGAATGGGGGCAAAAACAAAAGTGTTGCTTTTATAATTTTGTTCAGTATATTAAATGAATTTTAGTATGATATTTGCAATTATCCAGGGAAGTAAATGAAGAATTCTTTCCCCTCATACAGTCTTGACACTGTTAATTATGTAAGATAAACATTTACATTTTATCCCTTTTTAAATTGTGATTTTGATTTAAAAATAAAAGAATACGGCTTTTGATTTGTTTTAGATTTTTACCTTTATTATCTCCATCACCTTTTCATTGCACAGCTGTGGTATCCTGAGTTGACATCATGTACATGATCGATCATGATTGCTTCCATGTATGTGTCTTCAGACAAAAGGAAGCCTCTAGCTCTGACAGTAGCAGTCTGTGTTGCTATCTTGCAACCAAGCTGTTCATAATACACCCTGCAGATAGCAAGTGAGTGATGCCTGATAGAATTGAATTCCCTGCACCCCAAGTCTCATCTTCCTTCATCAGTGGCAGAACTCATTCAGCCGACCTGCCTGACATAAAGAAAGGTTTTTGAGCGGAAAAGGGAGACAAAAATGAAATTGAAAAGGGGAGATTCCGCAGTCTCCACCTGGCACTTCAGGGCTCTGCTGCCTTATCATGCTGGAGCAGGAGTGTGGATTAGGGGATGGGTGACCTTGGCTGGGCTGGAGTTAACATCCCCCCTTCCCAGGACCTGGGTCATGGAATCCCATGCCCTTGAGTAAAGGAACTGACACACGCATGAGAACAAACCCCAGCTGAATTAATGAATTCTTGCATGCATTTTAAAAACATTAAAACAAAGTCATTATGTGAGGTCTTTTTTGAATTTCTGTCAACTTCAGGCTTAATGGAGTGTCACGTTAAATGTAGTATTGCGGTTTATCATCAAAGACACACTGTGACCACAAGTGGAGTTAATGTGTTTATTAGATTCTGTCAAATAGTAGATCACAGGGGGTGGACGTTGGGGTGTTGATTAGCGTGAGGCTGTTTTGTGTTCATTTACTCCATTAGATGCCTGTTGTCCCCTGACAGGCTTCAAACTGAGGAAGAGGAAGATCGTCAATGAGCCGACGGGCGGGACGGGGAACTGCCCCCACCTGGTGGAGGCAATACCGTGTGAAGACCCCAGCTGCTACGACTGGTTGGTGGTTAAACTGGATGAGTGCATCCCTGACAATGAGAAAGATTGTGGACCAGGAACCCAGATCCCACAAGTGCAGTGTGTCAACAGTGATGGTGAGTAGACACATGAAACACTTTGCCATAAAGCAGCTTTAGGTCTGGCAGTGACTTTCTAACTGATTACAACATGTGGTTCTAGGCAGGGATTACTGCTGTGTTTTTGCACTCCATTTTGCAGAGATCACCTGTCTATGTTGTGAAGGGTTCATGCTGTGGGCCTCCGTCAGACAAAATCTAGACAACAGATATTTTGTAATTAGCTCAGTGGTCCTATAGAAATTCTGCACTTACAAGCTCTCTTTCACTCGCAGTGTGTCTGGAGGCAGTACGGGCAGTCCAAGAGTAACTGACTGCTTAGTAAATCAGGCTCTTTCAGTTTCAGACTGTTTATGTTGATTTACTCCAGGTTGCTCTCTTTCCTTGGTCTCTTCAACAACTATGGATATTGAGCAGCTGTTTATCTGTTCATTCTAAGCAAACTCCAACACCTATCAGATATGACAATATATGCGGTGAGGCAATATAAGCCAACCATCATACCACCAAAGATGTTGCCTTACTAGCATACTTAGCTATCCAATTAGCATCTCAGGACGTGTTAGACCATTGTGGCAATGTTGGAAATCAATGAACATGACTGTTTTATGTCAAATTGGGAATTGATGTTATTCCTTCATCAGTATGATGAAGTACTTTTATTTGTAAAATATTTAATTTGCTGGACTGCTCACCCTGACTGTGGATTTGGAGCCTCAACCTATCCCTGCCAGAGGTCTCTGAGGTAGTAAAGAAGCTCCTCTGCGGTAGGGTGCCAGCTGTGGATTAGATTCACCTTGTGGCTCTGGAAATTGTTGGGCTTCTTGCGTATTTTTTTAACAGTTGCGTGATATGTGTGTGAAGCGCCAGTCCTCAGCACAATCTCTGTCGGTGTATGCACAAAAGAAGGGGACTGGCACCTCCTGACTACATGGACACTCATAGGCTATTGTAGGCCGTGGAAAGGGCCAACAGGACAACTCTAGTTAAATTATGTAACAGTAGTCCGTGTGTATTTATTGATATAAAAATGCGTTCTGGACTAAATCCTTTACTGGATTGGATCGTCTGGACCTTTGCTAACATAACAAGGCCAGTTTTGTCGGAATGTAATCCATTGATAGGCTACGGCTTTTCTGGGAAGTAATTTTGATTATTAGCAGTGCTTAAAGTGGGTCCCTGGCAGTACCAGTACTACATTTTACTCTTTGGTGTAGTGGGACTTAAAGTTGGGCGTAAAGTTGCTCATCAATGTAGCTTTTCTTGAACCGATTAATCACAGCCTGGAGGTGACAGGACACTAAATAAATTTGTTTCGCCACAGCAAACTTTAGAAATGTTGAACTTGTTCTACATGAATGATTATTGACGAGTAGTACTTACCATTAACTAAGGGGGTGGCGATGGTGCAATGAGTAAGACGCCTGCCTTTGGTGTGAGAGACCTGGGTTCAATCCCCCCACTGTGACCCATCTACCATTGTGTCCCTGAGCAAGACGCTTAACCCCTAGTTGCTCCTCTGACATGTATAACAATTTTAAGTCACTTTGGATAAAAGCGTTAGCTAGATGAGTAAATGTAATTAGAAACTGACCACCATATTTAATGAATGGAAACAACCCCCACAAATGAAACTGCTGTCTAACTGGAACAAATATTATATACCAGAGACGTTTAGACAGGTAAAAACCACTGCTTTGCCTAGCAAGATAGCATTTCGTGCATTGTCTGAGTTTTGTCTATTTTCTGGTTAATTGCAGTGAGGCTATACAGAGGAAGGCCGGTGTGTAGAGCACCAGTCTAACGGGTTTGTCCCCCGGGAGGCACTCTGCAGCTCCCCAGTTGGTGACACATTTGCCACAATTAGCTGACATGGTCAGCTGTACAAAGTCTGTTCAAAGTACTATGTCACGTTGTCTTGGTGAGGTCTCATAACTACATAACACATGTTAGGGATAATCTATGTTTACATTATGTGTTTTTGAAAAGAAGAAAATTAAATGACCTCCTGTCACATCCCCAGTTTGTCAGATTTGATAAAAACGTATCTGACATTATGTTAACTAAAACAGGAGCGCCACACAGCATGGTTTATCCCCTTTTTTATTCACTCTACACTGCTGACTACAGGCATCGTTTAGTCATCTTGCCACATAATGAAATTTTCCGATGACATTGCCTTTGTTGGTCTCTAAAATTGAGGTGATGACCAGGGGTCTCAATTATAAACACTGCATTCGCACAAGACGTGGCTGGAAAACGTGCGTACGGCACTTCCCACACAAAGATTGTCATCTATAAAAACAAACTTAATGTGAGAATGTGCGCTCCTCCATGCAAACTCTGAGCCATGCGTCCGCACACGAAAAAAACACAAGAAAGGAGAAATGGTGACGTACATGGCAGAAGGATGAAACTGTTGAAATGGATCCTAATGTGTAAAATAAATCAATATATTACCTCTGAGTATTATAGGCCAATGAAACCAGTCAGCTTTAATCAAGGTTCAGAAGGCTTTTAATGGGTGTATGGTTTTTGTTTTTTTTAATTCTTTACCTATTCTTTTTCTGTTTATGCTGTATGTTGTTTCATGTGATCTGGTGCCAAATGAGTTCCCCATTGGGGATTAATAAAGATTTCTAATCTAATCTAATCTAATCATGCACAGGCTGCAGAATCTGTCTGGAATTTATTGTTGGTTTGGACATCAGGGCTCAGTGGGGTGATGTGTCTAGTGTTGCCATGATATTTAATGACATTGAATTTAAGATTATCCCCATGGATGCCCATTGGAATTTAAGATTATCCCCTTCAACTGAAGGATATTTTTCTATATATCTTTACTGTAAATAGTTTTTATTTCCAATGCAAGTAATCCAAGTATCTTTAAAGTACTATATGAATAAAATGTATTATTAGGCTCTTAGGATGTATACTGTGTACAGTCACTGGCTCTGGCTTCTCTTATCCCTTATCTTATTTATGTCATTATAAATTGAAAACCTTTTGGACTGTTGGTTGGACAAAATGGGACATTTAAAGTCATTGTCTTTGTAGTTAGTAAATAAAACCACTTAACTTAAGTGCAGGAGGTCATAATGACCTTGAATAGAGTAAATCAACAAAATCATTTTTACTGCGACTCACAGCTCGAGTTTGTGCAGTTGCCATGGAGAGGTTCTGATTACAAAAGAAAAAACACTGAGTCGCATTGACTTTTTAGTGTAACATTTCTGTGCAGTCGACTGGGATAATTATAATCTGTTTTCACCAAATACTAAAACAACAACTGAACTATCAGATCTGAATGGGACAGACATTAATAATAATAGCAACTACTACTACGTTTCTGCTGGAAAGAAAGCTTTTAGGCAATCAGACACAGGTGTTTGGAACAGTAAATGTGCCTGCATTGATGTGAAGTGGCTCTTTTGAACCCGTGAGCTCCCAGTAATTACCAGATAATTGGAGTTGTTTCTGCTTTGTTTGGAGGTTGTGTTCAATGTACTGTCAGTGTACTCAGCTCTGATTGCTGCAGAGTCGCTTGGCCTCTCTTTGAACCACCACACATTGGGCCCTACGGCCTTGGCTCCCTGCCAAACATTGTAATTGCTGTATTTGTTGTAGGGCAATATACCTCTATTGTTTGTGCTATTCTAAGCAATTTCATTGTATTCCCGTGTGTATGTGTGTTTGTGTGTTTGTGTGTGTGTATAGCTACTTTCTCCTGGGTTCCAGCACAGGCGACTAGCCAAAACTGTGCTGGAAGAGAATGTGAGGCACCAGAACAGCTACTGCCTGAGGGACCTCTCTCTGTCTCTCACACACTCTGACCTAAGGAGTAAGCACCTGCTTTCTTGTACCTCAATATACCAGGGAAACAGCAGGTAGACCAATACATTATTTCCTTTCTAGACAATAGCAAGTTATGCTGTTTTGCATTTAAAAAAGGGCAATATTCTGTGCACATGTTGCTCTTTGTCTCTGCGGCACAAAAACAGATTTCTTCACTTGTCTGCCAAATCCATGCGCACCTACTCACAGTGTTTGTGAAGCTACTTTGAAAGTCACAAGTCTTGCAGGTTTCTTAGCCCTAGCAATGCTTCCCTCAAAAGAAACCCAGTTTGTTTTAACTAAAGTTAGTTTCTTATTAGTTTATAAGAAAGTTGTTCAAGATACTACATTTGACTTAAGATGTCACATGCCAACAAAAACAAAACAAAAGTGTCGGACATTAGCTATAAAGTGCATTGATTTAAAGTTTCTGCGAGATGTCTTGAGTTTCACTCACTATGAGACTAAACTTAAAAATGATATGTACTGGATGGGATCATAAGGGTTCCACGTGCTTCCACATGAAGCTGGATACTGGGGCACATTTGTACTATAAAAAGTAAGTGGGACAAAAATGGAATAATGTTGGGCCTCAGGGTCAGAATAGACATAAAGTCACAGTTCACAAGGAGGCTAATTTATTAATCCATTGAGTTTTATTTCCGTCTCTTCTTTTCACATGTCAGTGGATTCCAATCCAGGACCCTCAATATCATTTCAGAAAATGAAAACAGAAAGGAACAGAAAACAACAGAAAGTGCAAATGGAACTTTAACCTCAATGACCAACAACTTTTAAAGTATTGCAACAGCAGTTTCTTCAGACTTCTACTTTAACTATTTTTTACAGTATAACATGTAAAATAAAATTGCTGCTGCTCACTTTCCAGCACATGCTGCTGCTAGCAATAGTTACTTAAACATGAGTCCCATTTCAAAACAGAAAATCAAGCAACCATAAAGCAGTGCTTGCAAAGTGCTTGTGGCTTGGATTAATAGCTAGAATTCCTCTTGGAATTTCCTCTTTCAAGTTTTTTTTTTCCAGTTGTTATGTGCAGAAGGCGTTTCCCTTGGCTTTTCAGGGATTTGGCTGTGTCCTGTTTGCCCATAAGAAAGTGAATAATATTTGGCTATAGCACGGGTTTTTAAAACAAGGAGGTTATAATGTGTATTTGTTTCATATTG